TTTTTGAGTGCTCCTCACACTATTGTATTAATATATTTAGCTTTGGCTTTATTGATACAATATCAGAAAGCACTCTGTTTTGCGGATATAATCGTGTGGGCTGAAGAAAAGATTATATCTTTTTTTTTCCGGTTTTTTAAATAAAATTTCATCCTTTATTTTTTTCTTTTTTTTTATATAAACTGTTGTTTGTTATTTTTTTATTTATTATTTCCCCCCCCCCTTTTTTTTCCTCATATGTCTATAATTTTTCTTTGTTTTATTCTTCATTTTGACGATCACGACAGAGGTAGAAATTAGAAATAATTTAATAATTTTAATAATTCTGCTACCTACTATGTTAAAATGTCTCAATCTCATGCCTACGATGATATATGTGATTGAAAGGCCGACGGGCGTATTTTAGATAAATCATTACTGAAATTCAATACATTGAGATTCGTGGTCTTGTCTTGAGAATAGTTAAAATCGAAATCAAAGTACTTAAGGGGGATAAAGCTGCGGGGCAACTTCTTTTCAATGGGCCTCAACATTAATTAAACGAAATATTATTTGTTCAATAATTGTTCAAATAAAATCATTAAAATTGTATATCGAAATATCAACCTTATTAATATTAGAAGTATTATTTATTATACATTCTAAAATGTAAATTAAACATTGAAATAATATTTAATGATCGAGTCATATGATACAAGTCGAATTTCGAAATAGTATTTAACAGTAAATATTAAAAATTTAAATTAAATTTCGAAACAGTATTTGGTAATTATGATACATATTGTGCAATTTAGCGTAATATGTAATTCAGCATACTATAATTTGTAATTTAAATTATGAAATAATATACTTTTCAGTAAAAATGATTAAATATAAGTTACATTTTGAAGCGTTTCAAAAGAGTTAAAAGCTTAACAGGTGTAAATGATGTACTACAGTACTAATTGACAGATTGTAAATAAAATATTTGTTAACAGGTAATGATTGAAATATTAATTAGCAGATAGTAATTAATACTTCATTCAAAAATTAAATTCCAAATTCGTAAATCAAGTTTTGAAATAGTATTTAGTAATTATAATATATATTGTGCAATACAGCGTAATATGTAATTTAGCAAACTATAATTTTTTAATTTAAATTACGAAATAATACTTCGCAGTAAAATTAATAAAATATAAGTTACATTATGAAGAGTTTTAAAAATAAGACGGTTAACGATTAATAAGTATAAATGAAGTACTACAATACTAATTGTAAATAAAATATCCGTTAACACGTATTAATTAACAGATAGTAAATAAAATATTAATTAATTAGTAGCGAATAAAGTGTTAAATTTTTGAAGTGAAACTGAAAGTGATCCCGCGGAATCTGAAACACAGAATATTCATTTTTTTTTCAATTCCTCTACTATTAGTTCACACTGTCCCTATTTATTATTAAAATGGTCAATCGTTCTTCAAATACTTTTTATTCATTCATTTTAGTTCAAATGCATTTTTTTAAACATGTAGTGGAATGACACTTGATGTTAATACATTTTTTTCAAATATTAATTCATTCATTAAATAGGGAATGAGCGAAAAGCGAAATGGAATTTTCAGATGGGTTAAGCGTTAGTCATTGTTTTAAATTTTCAACAAGAGATTCAGTTTTTCATATTTTAAAAATAACAGTGATAATTTCTAACTTACAGTTCTTTCTGAATAGTTTATTGTTCAGTTTTTAATATTTAATTATTTTATATTCACTGAGTCAGATAAATTCTATAAAGAACATTACGTCGTAGCGCGTGTGGTCACCAAATTTATTCGTTTATGATTACCACGCTACTTTTTTCGTTTTTTTTTTCTTCTTTTTTTTATCAATTTCTACTATTAGTTCAAGCTCTACATATATATTGCTTACATTTTCACTTGTTAATAATATACTTTTTATACATGTTTAAATACATTTATTTTAAACTTGTAGTGATGTTAGTACAGTTTTTTTTAAATACTGATTTATTCATTAAATTTCATTCATTAATTTTAGTTTCATATGTGAGAAATTATTTTTAAATTATTGAATAAAAAGTAATTAAAATAAAAAATTTTCTTAGTTGAACTAAGTAGGAATTGACGGAAAATTTTAGATTACATTGTTTAAGATTTACCTCTGTTTTGGTTATTCCAATAAAGGCAACAAGACAGAGTAAGATTGTCACCCAATGCATAGTTCAAGACACATTCATTTGAAATGCTTCCACCCCATTCTGCTGTTGAAAAGTGATAAGGGCCGATAAAGGAAGGAAACAAAGTGATCACGTGGAACAAACAGTTTAGAACATTCACAAAATAAACAAAATAACCCGGTGGATGAATCCTTAAGAAAAAAAAAAATCTTAATAATTATTTCTGCCTTTTTTGTTCTGTTCTTATTTCAATTCCTACTATCAGTTCATACTCTCCCAATCTATCTTGTTCACATTTTTAATCGTTAATAAAATACTTTTTAATCATTCACTCAACTTCAAATACATTTTTTCAACTAGTAGTGGATGACACTTGGTGTTAATAAAGTTTTTTTTTTCAAATAATAATTCATTAATTCAATGTAATTCCTTAATTTTAGTGTTATATGGGAGTAAAATTTTTTTAATTATTTAATGAAAAGTAACCAAAATAAACTCAGGACTTGACTTTAAAAAAAATTTTTTATATATATATTACTTATTTTCTTTGTATAAAACTATATGCCTTTGATGGATTTAATATTGTGAAAATATGTGAAGTCGCAATTTCACAAATGTGATCTCAAAAATTCGGTTACGGGAGCGACCCTTAATGTTAATTCCCCTTTTTACGGATTTCGTAATCCTTCGTAATTTTGAACGCATTTAGACAATTTCAAATTTAGTTTATTCAAAGATAATTAGATCTAAGAGGTAATTTTTAATAGCTCGTTCGATTATTTTTTCCTTATTCTATTTTAAAAAGCTCGAAAAACTTTGAAATGTAAGGTAAAAGGTTTTTTATATCATTTTAAATTATATAATTTTAAATGATATAATATAATTTATAGTGACATAATTAATATTTACATAATGACATCACATAACAATGGCATATAATGACAAAATGATAACAACAATAACGATACATAATTATGAGATATACATAATGACATAATTCATGTAATTACATTAAGTTATTAAGTTAATGCCATTAAGTTATTAATGGCATAAATAATTTAAATGACATAATTTAATAATTAACATATTAATAGACGTAATATATTTAAGTGACATGATATGTTTTTTTTATTTTACATCAGTCGTTGAACAGCCGACCCATATTTTGGGCTTACGACTACTAATGTTCAACTCCGTAGTCTTGTCATTTTGAACCCAATCCAGAAGACAAGGAATCTCCAGGATCAGTACGCACAGAGGTATGATTTGTTATGGGAGCGTGGAGGACTTTGGGACTCGACAGATTTAACTTGCATCAGTCACTATTTACTTTACGAGGAGTCTTCGGCCGGCGGGATCGAACCCACGACCTCTAGGACATAGGCCCAGTGCCCTACATAATATATTTTAACGAAATTAGACAAAGTTCCTTCAAAAATAGAATTTTAAATATATGTTTTTTTTAATAATATTTTATAAATCAGAAACTATATCGCTCATTTTTTCATTTTTTTATTTTGTCATTTAAAATGATACGCTTTGAAATGGTACAAAATTCGGCATGCCTTACAATTTAATATTTTTTCGTACCTCATTGATTAAAATAATTTAAAACAATAAAAAACTATTAAAAGTTATTTAACAAATATGACAAAAACTTAAAAATAAAAAAACTATTTGTTCCCCCAAAGAAAAAGAAATAATCGTTACAAACCTTTTATAAATGCTTGTTTACCCCTACTTAAGAGTTTCCTCTCTACATAAGGGGTAAAGCATTGCAGAAATATCGAAATGGCGGTTATTTTTAGGCGTAGAATAAAATCTCGCAAAGCGAAACCTTTATGAAGTCTATAGTTTATGCAGTAAAAATGGTATATTGTAGGTATTGACACGTTCTTCATTTCTCGTTTATTTTAAAAGGTTTGTGAAAGTGATGAAAAGTTACAAACTAATGAGAAATATTTTTGTCAGATTCTTCAATATTTACAGTCACATTTTTTTCCCTTCATATTTTCTTTCCTCAAATTCATCAACAGTAACAAATAAAAACCGATAAACGTATTCAAATTAACTTAATCTTTCATATCTGTGGATAACTATTGTATAAACAAGTATCGTGCATTTAAATAATGACCCAAAGAAAAATATAAGTACCTAAATATTTCTAATTAACCCTTTCTAAAGCCACGGTAAGTATACTTACCACCAATTTTTAAAGTCCATGTTCACTTTTCAACCACTTTTAAATTGGATTTCCACTTGTTAATAACCTCAGCTTTCTTGAAGTGAGTTTGAATAAAGCTGACAACCATTTTTTTGAGTAAAAGAAAACGTACAAAAGTTATAAAATGCATAATTCCTTCTGAAGTTTGTAGCATTTATAGAATTTATTTTATAAATAAAGAAAAAAAATCAATAAATTCCTAATAGGTCGTGGTAAAGATACTGACCACCAGAAAATGGCATTGACACGTTGAATGCTACGCTAATTTTGCTTGGCTTGCCCGTTTGGCCAAACGGTAAATAACTACAAACTAAATTTGCAAATTGGACAGATTTTACTAGTTTTTTAAAAGGTTCAGCATGACATATCTGAAAAAAAAAGTGGTGAGTTATATAAGCCTACGAATTGCTTAGAAATATTGGGGGATAAAAATCTACTAAATTGAATTTATTAATCCAAGAATCACAATTAATAAACAACCACTTGAAAATATTGATTCGCTGTCCGGATCAAGTTGGCATCTCTGTGTATATAAATAAAACTATTTTTGAGTGTTCTATATTGTATTTATTTTTTCAAACCGTTTTAATAACGATAATAATATAAAAATATTAAAAATTTTCTCGAATTATGAGTTTCTAATAATCTTGGCTTCACGGATCACCGGGGACCCTCGTGGCGCTACGAACAAACTCAGTGCCGGTCACCGGTGACCCCTATCGCATTCAACGTGTTAAAATTTAAATAAATTTTTTATAAGATATATGAGTTCTTCTTTTCTTATATCAATTATTATTCTTATATATAATTGATAGATGAATTTCAGTTCCAAACTTTTTCTAATTTACTTTTACTAGAAATAAATGGCCCACTAAAGGGTTAAGTTAAAAAAAAAAAATGCGCACATATCAATAAAAGGAAATGTAAGTTTAAAAAAAATTACAATTAAGAGAAACGTAATATTTATGTTAACTATTAATCAAGTTTTTTTTTGTCCTCTTAGAAACGTTCCCTTTTATTAAAATAACATAAACCCATTTTTTCTTTTATTCAATAATTTATATTCGTAAAGTGAGACGCATTTACCTCGGTTACACGATATTATACATAAATATTCATAACCATGTTTACTGAATATATGTTTCTCTGTTCTACGCTACTCATACAAAGTGAAAACGCCTTTGTTACGAACTATTTTTGTTTTTCATTAATGTCTACAAAAAATGAATGAGAGAGAAAGAAAAAAAAAAGAATCATTATCCCGAAAGGTTAACAAGTCGTTCTTTCGCAACAAGCCTTTTGCTTTTCATTGATTTCATATGCATCTTAACTGCCATTCGATTCTAAGAATTAATTTCCACACGATTATCCATCCATGATGAGAGGGCGCTGCGATCGAGCGCCTTGATCTCCGTTTTCCCTAGAATCGCAGGACATCGCTCGATCAAGCAACTCTCTTCCCTTTTTCTTTTTATTCCAAAAATCCCTCTTTTCTTTCCTGTGTAGAGAGAAGAACAATATGGCTGATGGGTAAAAAGCATGGATAAAACTTGTGAGGTCAGTCTTTTACTACTTTAATCCCATTGGATAACGATTTCTCTATTTTAACATTCAACACAATGTATAACTATCAGTTATTCCCTATCTAGACTAGTACGACAACATTTGCTTCGTTATATATATATATATATATATATATACATTATATATATACAACAAATATTTTTAATGTAATTTTTTTTCTTTTTTGAGGCTCAACTTTACACTTTGGTAGCTAACGTATTTACATTTTGAAGCAAGCAACAAGCTAAGTAAAATATATTTCGAGGATACAGAATTCTTTCAAGTATGTAAAAACCAAGAGAATTTTAAATTAAACTCGCTGACGGGTGAAAAAATTTACCGAGCAGAATTTACATCTATGATAATGATAACTAAAATATGATAAGTTATTTTTTAAAATACACTATAATAACATCCTTAAAAGAAATTTACAATAAAGTAATCATTAATAGGTGTTATAGTTTTTATCAGGCTAATATCACTCTGACTAATGCAAAGTTAAAGTAACTAAATTGTTTTTATCTAAATAATTTAAATCTAAATTGTTCACAATTGTTTATTAACAATAAAACATGAAAGGAAATTCGGCTTCGTTAATTGAATGTATTAACAAGCATTCGTTATATCATCTTTCTCACTTCAATNTATATATATATATAACAATTAATGTAATGGTTTAAACTATGTTATTGACTAGAAAAATCATATATTATAATGGGATTCTTAATTAACACTAGATTGCCTAAGGAGGTCATTTTGACTGCTTTTAATTTCAATTAGAAAAACAATGATGTATATGATAACACAATTTCTTAGAATTTTGTACAGTATATAATTTTTTTTATTGTTAATATTTACTAATAACTTGTTATATAACTGTAAAAAATAAAAAAATATTAAAAATTAATTTTGAACAAATTTCTTTACTCATTATATTTATTCTTTTACAATTCAGTCATTTTGACTGCTTTCAAGCAATCTAGGTATATACTAAGTTTCAGTCTTTCTAGTGTTAATCCGGTCTGTCATCAACTAATAAAAGTTATAAAGGTATTTGTTAAATTATTCATTTGTCTCTTATTTAAAAGTATTTTTATTACAGAAATATTTAATATAAATTTGTTAACTGTTTACATATATTTTGTCACCTTAACTATTCTTGTTACATTTTCATACCTGCCAAGTTTCCTGTTTTTTAACGAGGACTCCTGTATTTTAAGACTATCTCCTGTTTACCCGTATATTCTCAAATTTCTTCGTATATGTTCGAGAAATTTTCTTAAATTATTTTAAATAATTCTTTTATTTCTTAACAGATAGTGCTATTGCCGGTACTGCAGTATGTTGAGTGTTTTTAATTTAAGTAATCATAAACAACGGTTTAAAAAAAATCTTCCTTAGATAAAGATTTATATACATATATACTACTTCGCTAAATGTCAGTGCTCATATTATTCCTAATTTTGACTTGCATGATTATGCATGATGTATCAAAACTTTACTCGTAGCCCCCCCCCCTCCAAAAAAAATTTCAAGTAAAATCACCGTTATTTTATTTCTCCAAACTTGGTAGGTATACATTTTTATCAATTTTATAAAGTAATGCTCAAAAGCAGCTATAGTACGCCATTAATGTTCTGATTAAATCGGTTAACGTTCAAAATGCATTATATCCACTCATTTGATTGTATTGTATTGATTCTATAGAAAAATAATGCTTATTTCCCTAACACTCTAGTTAATCTGAACTTCAGTTGGATAATCTGTCAAATAACTGATTCCTGCAATTCAGCTGTAAATTTTAAAATGTGTTCAATTAAGACCAACAAATACAAAATAAACATTTAAAATTCTATCCATGCAATTTTAAGAATTATTGACTTTGTGCACCAATGGGTGAAAATTATTGAATGACTTTTTGCACCAATGGGTGAAAATTATTGAATGACTTTTTGCACCAATGGGTGAAAACTATTGAATGACTTTTTGCACCAATGGGTGAAAATTATTGAATGACTTTTTGCACCAATGGATGAAAATTATTGAATGACTTTTTAAAACAATTAAAAATTAAAAACGAATCTTTAAAGAAAAACAAATTTTGTGGATGAAGTAAAAATATTAGTCTTATTTAGGTCTAATAGAAACTAAATCTGCGGAACCAGAATTATAAGGTATTTAAAAATTTGTTAGGAAAAAAAATAGACACAATGAAGTTAAGTTCAGATCTCATAAAAGAGAAAACCAACAGTAGAGTTATGCACCCATTTAAACAGCAATTAAATGAAAGATGAACATTTTGATTTAAAATACATACATCTAAAAGAGATAAAAGAGGGGAAAAAATTCTTCCACAACGCTGTCATTTTGTTTAGGTCCAATAATAATCCATAATTAATAATAGAAATCAATGAAGATTTTCCCCACTGTTGGTAGTGTAAAAATATAATATCAAATATTTTTTTGCAAAAATTATATAATATAATATAATATAATATAATATAATATAATATAATATAATGTAATGTAATGTAATGTAATGTAATGTAATGTAATGTAATGTAATGTAATATAATACACTGGTATAATAAATGAAGAGAATTTGCGGACTTGGTTGATTATCTCTGGAACTACCAAACCGATTTTAATGAAATTTAATGAGTGTAATTGATACAATACAAAAAAATAACCATTCAACAATTGTAAGACGCATGCATGACCTTGCATAACACTCCTTGGAATCGGAAGGTATGAAACAGCAGTTGCAGAATAAACAACAAAAAATGGATTAATGGTCCCCTCTTACAGACATATAAACCTCGCAGCGTGGTTTCTGCAGTTTATCATTTCCTGTGGCAATTCGCCAGAATTGTACTGTGGCCATTTCATACCTTCCGACTCCAACAAGTGTCACGCACGATCATGAGTATATATTACAATTGTTGAATGGTTATTTGGTTTGCATTGTATCAGTGTATGTACATGACACAATGTCATTAAAATCAACCAGGTCTTAATTCTTAATTTCTTACAACAGTCTATAATGTAATATAATAAAATATTATAGAATGGAGTATAATATAAAAATAATGTAATATAATATATTATAAAACAAAAGGCCGGTACTGACCTACAACTGTATCAACTAAACAAATTACGCGAAGATATTGCCTACTTCAAATCAAAGAATTTGAAGAAAAAAACCTTGTTACAGCTATAATTGCTGTTTATATTAAATCATGCAGTCCCGTAGTGTACTGATCGTCAAGACAGGATTCCCAATAGAACGCCGAAGTCAAGAATCTCTGGCTGCGGTCAGTGTGAGGGTGGGTGACCACTTGGATCAGTCTACGAAGTGACCGAGGGTGTACGGTATGGGTCCTATTTAAACTGTTCTACCGTAAAGTGCTCAACTTCACGGGTAGGTCCTAGGGTTACCGAAGTGGGGGTGCCACCCCCTCTGCAGAGGATCAAAATTGTGATGGCATCTCTTTGGATCATCCTCGGGGATGTTTTCCAGACCCTCCCCAATAACCCATCGTGCAGCTCTAGTGAGACGTAAATAAACTACATCAACAATTAAATCATGTAGGATCGAACTCGTAGTATAAAAAATGAATTTTAATATCATATTGTGAGTGCAGCGATGTCCCGAGTAATTCTTTTTTCTTTCTTTTAAATTTTTTTTTTGACAGCCGCCCTAATTTTGGGATTGCGACTACCAATATTCAACTCTGTAGCCTTGTCATTTTTAACCCAATCCAGAAGACGGGGGAACTCCTGTAACAACTATTGGGAGAAATTTGCCTTCGTGGTGGACTCTCTGATGGAGCTCTTCCGCATTTGCGTTACATGGAGAGGAGGACCACCAGAACCTCCGACGGTTTGCCTGACGGCAAGGGGACTCTAACTCATGATCCGTCTACCACTGAGAATATTTCACGTCAGTACTGTGGTCGCACTAGGATTCGTACCAGGTTCACCTGATTGGAAGGCGAACGCTCTATCCCCTGAGCCCTCTCGGCCCTTCCCGACACTTGATCTAGGACTGCCCTTGTCCTCCTAGTTGGATTCAAAATTACGAGGCTACGGAGATGATTATTGTTGATCAGCATGCATTCCTAAAAAAATGAATCGGTTGTTCAACGCCGATTATAAAATAAAATATTTGTGCACGACTGCTCTATCTTAATTCTGTTACTTCCAGAATGACAAGATTTGCTCATAAAAAACGAACAATATCCTAAAAATATAATAATTTTCTATCCCGAAAAATAATTTACTATCCTAATTCTATTATTTGTAAAATATTTTAATATTTGCGTCTGATAAACGAGTTCTATCGAATTTAATTATTGTGAAAATTACTGCAATTATGTCTGAAAAAAGTGCTTCATCTTAATTATATCTTTGTAAAGATAATAACCTTTGCGCTCGAAAAGCGAACGCTCCTAAATCTTTTCTTGTGAAGTCTAAAACGTTTATGCCCGGAAAAATACCTTGTCTCATTTCAAAAATTACATCCTGATAAACAAGCTCTATCCAATTTATTTACAGCCACTTGTAACGAACCCTGATATAACGAAAATACTTGGTAGGTACAATGTCTATCGGAGCATTTTTCGATACACTAAATTTTTAATGTAAAGCAGGATTTCTTAAAAATCACTTTTGTCAAGTCAAAGCTAATTAACGAATATCTTTTGTACTGCGAATATTGTATTTTTATGATTTTTTCGACGATCCCGTTTTTTCAGTTCCTCTACTATTAGTTCACACTCTCCCTGTACATCTCGTTTAAATTTTTAATCGTTCATAAAATACTTTTTTATTCATCCACTCAAGCTCAAATATACATTTTTAAAACTCGATTGATTGACTCGATTGACTCGGTGACACTCGATGTTAATACAATTTTTTTTTTAAATATTAATTCATAAATTAAATAGGGATGAGCGAAAAACGAAATGGAATTTTCTAATGGGTTAAGCGTT